TCCTTCAACTCCATTGAGGTGCAACCCATCTGCAATTTTGCCTCACTGTCTACTTGTGCAACTGCAATAACATGAGACCAGACATACAATTTCTGTGTTTCTGAGAGGGCTGCTGCACCCCTGTCCACCAGACAGCTGGAGTTCTGCCTGGCTTAATCATGCTAAGGTCTGTGAATTCTTTGTTTGAACCTATTAATCAAAGAACCTTGTACTGCTCTTCTTTACAATGTTGTTTTGCCAGCTTGTGGACATTCCCATCAGTGAGGTGAGAAAGTTTTTAGTTATATTATTTCAGCATTGGATCGAAAAAAAAAAAGGATTGTAGCATTCCCTCATGTTAGTTATGAATGTTGGTTCCTGCGAAACTCTGACACTGCCAAACAGCTCTTTTTTTCCCCTTTCTTTGTAACTATCCTGTTCATTGAAAGAGAAGACAATAGATAGACTAGAGGCGTCAGGAAATTCCTTTTTTATACTGATGACAGCCTAGTTCTATGTTTAGCCTTGGTGTTCTGGTATTGCAAGCTCCAGTGCTTGCTGTATGAGGATACATATGATCTGGAGAAAGAGCTTTCCTAGTAAAAAGTTTGTTGTTTCTACCCTTCAGCTTGGTCAGTTGATTGACTCGAAGATACGACTTGGCCTTAGAAGTCTCGCCATTCTGAGCAGAGGAATAAAGTTGCCAAAAGCTCCATACAAATCTCCTGCTGGTTTTCCTGTGGAAACTGTCCCTGTGTTTGCTTTGTAAGTGTGAGGGGACGTGTCCCTGCGTGGGAGTGGGGTACCCTGTGCACAGCACTGTGGGTCCAAGGAGTGCATGGAGCAGTGACTGTGAGGCTGTGAATCTGCATCGTGGTGTCTCACAGTCATTTTGGATACAAGACCATCAATGGATGTTCACAGTGCAGTGTGTCTCACTGTGTTTTGAGCTGCCTGGTACAACCTTTCTGAACATCCAGTCTTCCTCCAGCATTACTAATATCTTCCACTGCTTTGAATATGCCAGTATCAGAAATCTGTAAGGCAGCTTTTGCAATATAAAGAGCATGGGGTTACTCTGTGTTCCCAGGGTACAAATACTGTTCCAAGTGACCAATGCCTCAGGAACCTGATGGTTTACTGTAATTTTTGCTGCAGGTTCTTGCAGGAACATCTGACCTGAGGGCAAGTAAAACCTGTTCCCCTTTACCATGCATACAACTCTATGGCCTCCTCCCTCATACATTATAAATCTTCTTTGGCATCTAATCCTCATTCTTTTCTTTTCCCAGGACAGTGTAAGTGCTCCCCTGAAATTGCTTTGAGCTCTGTGACTAGGCAAGAAGCCGGTGGCAAAATTAGAGGAGTTTGTCTAGTGAAGTCTAGAAGTTAATCAGATTTTTAACCCTTAGGTCTGATAGGAGCTAGTGCTTTTACAGATCTCTGATTTCTTGGGGTTTAGGATCTCCTGTTACAGTAATTCTTGTAAACTTCACAGATTTGTTTGAGTTTACTTGATTTACTTATTTACTAGAATTATATGTTATTAATAAGGCCTTCTTTGGGGTTCCATCCTCTACTTACTACTAGGATCTCATCTCTCTTGTGTCTTACAAACAACTTTTTAAGCTGTCATTAAAACTTCTGCAATTTTAATCTTCTAACTCAGAGTTTAAATCAGAGTTAAGAAGGTAGCTCTGTTCCCTGGGCATGCTAGCATCTCCACCATTCTCTTCAAAGTCTGATGTCTTGCTTTTGGGCTTCCAACTTGTCTCTTTCTCTGAATGCCTAACCCCAGCTAAAGTTTTCATCATCCTGGATGATGATAAATAAATTGTACTTTCTCAAGCTATGGACAGTATCAGATGCTTTATGGGAAGATGCCTGGTACCCTCAAGAATATTTGTCCTTTGAGCATATATTTTCAAGCAGATGAATGTTCTCCCAGGATACATGCACAGTCCTTTTTGTTTTGGTTTGGTAGTCTTTTTGACTTACTGGTATCATGTGTCAGTGAGGAAAAGCTAGCCAACAGTGTTCGTCTCTTATTCCAAATCTGTCTCTTTCAATTCCCTTGCTGTGAGTTGTTTTTATCATTTCAGCATCCCTCTGCAAGCTTAAATACACCTCCCCTGCTTGCCTTCCCTTCTGCTGCTTGAGTCAGGTTCTGGATGTCATCCTGCAAACTTCTGAGTTAATCCATAAAGTCTCAACCAAGTTTTCCTCCTTCCTCCCTACCATGCAGCCTGTCCTCCTTGCCTCTTTTGCATGTGTTGTCCACTCTGGGTTCTGTGTTATTCCTTAGTGACTGTCCTTATTTAAAAATATGTTAGTATTACAAAACAAAGCCATAAAGCTTTTTGCAGTTCTCCTAGATTGTTCTGTAATCCACTTGGTTGTACCTCTAAACTGCAAGTTCAAGGCTGGGCTGCTGTTTGCCTGATGTTCTATGCAAAGCAAGCTGTGTATGCTCACTGTGCTCATACATTAAGTGACCCATCAAGTGCTTTAAGGGCCTCATGTGACAATTGGTGTGAATGTGCTGTACTGTGCTTGCAGGGAGGCTTGAACCTCTTAAGTATAGACCCAGAAGTTCTCAAAACGCCAGGCAAATCTGATCCAGAGTCTTGCTTGAAGCCCTTTTTAGATGTGTGTCATGGTAGTAGAAGAGAGAGGGGATGTATCATTGAGGTAGAAGACATGGGAAGCAGAATAGCATAGAGAGGGTGGGCTGCATTTTAAGCACTCAAAGCCAAGTGGTAAATGTGTCTGGGAGCTATTGATCACTTTCTGTAGCATCCTTGTCTAATCCTAGCTTGCTTACAGCATGTAAAACTTAATTTGTGGGGTTTGGGAGTTACTTTTGTGATTTAAATGGCAGTCTGAGACGACAGAACCCTGCCATGACATCAGCTTTCCACTGAGTTATTTTAAAAGTTAGATTTTTAATTTGTTAAATCTTGTGATGGGTCATCATTTAATACTAGTAAATATTTCTCATTGTAAGATCAGACTTTCTTTTATAGTATCCTCATGCTGCTGTTTTTACTGAATCCAGCATGGAGCTATTTCCAGTTGTTCATTCACTCAGCAGCTCTTGTGTGTTCATGTGCTCTCTCTTTTTCTCTCTCTCTCAGCTTTTTTAGCCTTGTTGATCTCTTATTGTGAGGCTTCCAGCATTTGATGGGCTGTGAGCAGGAGCCATCAGCAACTTCCTCTGCCTGGGAGACCATGATGTCATCAGCTGCTCCGGGTTGCTTTGCCATCCGCTGCTGCTGTTGCTCTGGTGTATGTGGAAAGAATGTAAACAGCACTTTCCAGATGTTCTCAGAGCAGCTGAAAGCCATAAATGGACAGTTTGCTTCAAGAATATTACTAATCTATTTAGGAGACGGCAGTGAATAGAGTCATGAAAACACTTTGATGCGTATCCTGTGCAGTGTGCTCTGTTCAGTGCATCACAGTGGGTTGTTGGAGTGTTTAAGTGGTTACGTAGCATGTTCAGGGGTTGGGCTGGGTAGGTGAACTACCTTTATACGCACTCCCCTTCCCTTTCTTACCCTTCCTTCCTCCAGCTTCAACTCCTGAATGAAACACAGCAGCAATGTCCCTCTAATCTCACACAAGGCAAACACTTTGTTCACCCAGAGTGCCTCCAAGTTGTAAGTGATCTCAAAAGATGAAGAGTGAAGAAAATAAAGTCCGTGTAGTTTTTAAACTTTCGGTCTAATATTCAGTGTAGTAGGAATTACTGAATAATGGGGCTGTTTCATCTTGGTGTAATATAGGTTAGGAGTTTGGGAGCTGGTGCCTCTCCAGGGTTGGAAAAAGCATCAAATCTCACCCACTCGTAGTATATCCAAGGGGGGGGATGTGAACTACCTTTATACGCACTCCCCTTTCTTACCCTTCCTTCCTCCAGCTTCAACTCCTGAATGAAACACAGCAGCAATGTCCCTCTAATCTCACACAAGGCAAACACTTTGTTCACCCAGAGTGCCTCCAAGTTGTAAGTGATCTCAAAAGATGAAGAGTGAAGAAAATAAAGTCCGTGTAGTTTTTAAACTTTCGGTCTAATATTCAGTGTAGTAGGAATTACTGAATAATGGGGCTGTTTCATCTTGGTGTAATATAGGTTAGGAGTTTGGGAGCTGGTGCCTCTCCAGGGTTGGAAAAAGCATCAAATCTCACCCACTCGTAGTATATCCAAAATAAACCGATTTTAGGGGAGAAGCAGACACTTCCTTCTTTTGGGTGTGTATGTGTTTTTAATACATTAATTACTTTTTATTGAGTGGTGGAAAAATTGATGTCAGAGCTGCACCGTGGCTGGACGTGTAAGAACACAAGGTTGTAGGAAATAATACAGCTAACATCATAAGGGCAGTGAAAGTTTAATCATGGAGAGTTTAAAATAGCAAAGCTGAGCCATATGGATATTAAAAGATGTGACTGAATCAAATCAACAGTCTAATATTAAACTAGATTTTGCTGGGGGAGTAGCAAACTTCTGGGGTAAACTTCTCTTGTGTATCTAGTGTCCAAAGGTAGGTTTCTTGTCTCAGCACCTTGATTTCTGACTTTGGTCTTGTTGATTTCTGGCTATCTCAGGATGCAAACTACAAGGGCCAGTATAGGTTGTGTCTCTTTTTTTCTTTTTGCCAGGCCTCTTTATTTAAGAGTCTGTACATTATCCTTTTCCTTTTATGGTGGTCTGTAAACTTGTCCAGCATGACTTCTTCCCTGGCATCTCTCACAGTTCAGATTGCACAGATCCATGACAGGGAGGTGGAGGGGAGTGCTTTGGAAATTGGAGCCAAGAAGGAGTGCAGTTACATAATTGTACGAAAGAAAAAATTTTTTTGTTTTGTTTTGTTTTTCCTTCTCATACCCTTCTGTGAACTGAAAAAATGTTGTTGGAAAGCTGAATGGAAAAATTTCAGCGTCATTCATCCCTGTGGGGACATGAAATGTATTGAAATGTTCCACCTGTTTTATGGCTGTTGCTTTTCCTCTTTCAGGTTTGACATCTACAGGAAGGTGCCAAAAGACCTTACACAGCCAACCTACACAGGGGCTATTAGTAAGTAACACTTCCTTTTGATCTCCTTGTATACCCCTGGTCTAAAATTAAAGATCTGTTGGCTTCTCTGTCTAAAGGGAATATTTTAAAGGGATATTAAACACTGGAAAGGGTATCCTTCGTTGCTGAGACAGCTCATTTTGCCCGATCTGTCAGGTCATGATAAACAATGGAGTAGTTTGCATCAATTCAGAATCTCAGCAACAAAAAGTAATTAAGATATATTGTCATGAAAGGGACCTCCTAAAAGTTAGTGCTGAAATACCCACCCAGCTAGCTACTGAAGGAGCTAGAGAGCTTTTTGCTAGTGTCTTCCCATGAACAGAAGCTGTGAGTCTACTCCAAACACTGTTGGGGGGAATGAGATCAGTGCAATTTTTTTTTTTCACCTCTCTCTGGTAGGCATCTCCTCAGTCAGTGTGGAAACACTTGGTAAGGGTTGCATTCACAGTTAATGCACCCAGGCATTTGGCTTGCTGAGGAGACTTGAGGAACCAAGCTACTGCAAAGAGAGAATCCATGCATTGTGGATCAGTGAGGAGCAGCGTGGGTGGCAATATGCCAAGGGCCGCAGTGAAGATGATTTGGGAAACACTTATTTCTCTCTCAGTCTCCTCAACGGATTCATCTGATGGTGTAGGTGGGACTAATGAGCAGAGATCTGCTTTTGTTGGGGTTTTTTGTCATGTTTTTGAAGAAGAAAAATTACTTGGTCAGAAAACAGCGATAGCGATCCACTCTCACTCCTGTGTATCAATATAGAGACTCTGACTGATAACAAATCTCTTACCTTGGGCCCCTTTTCCTTCCTTCCTCCTCCTGAGGGAGGCTGTAGGCTGAGTAATGCAATTTCACACAGTTATGTGCAATGAGTGAACTGTGCAGAGTGGTAAACATTGATCAGGTTGATCTTGCCAGGCCTGTAATTAGAGGCCCTAATGCAGCTTTCCTGTTCCATTGAACACTGACTTCCTTTGATCATGTAGCTGTGCTCCATTCATCCATTCTTGTAGATGGGTCAGTAGCCTTCTATGTCATTGCTGACGTGAGTGATGTCATATCCCTTGGTGACAGCAGGCATCAAATAGAACTGAGTCAGTAACAGTGAATCAATGGACACAGAGGAAAGACTTTGTTGAGCTAAAGAACCCCGTTACTCCATACTGGGAGAATGGTCGAAGACTGGTACAGATTGCCCAGGATGGTGTGGCATCTCCATCCTTGGAGGTACTCAAAACAACTAGACCTGGCCCTAAACAACTTGCTTTAGCTGACCATGTTTTGAGCAGAGGAGGTGGATGAGGTGATCTCCAGAAGTCCCTGCCAGCCTCAACTATTCTGTGCTTCTGTGAAGATAGCACATTACTCTAAATATTTACTTTCAGAAAGTCCTAGTTGTCTGCGTTCTGACGGCTGAATTACTTGTATGCTGACTCCCTTTCAGGTTTGCTGAAACTCTGAACAAAGGGCTTGATTAAAACTGTTTGCTAATTTAGAGGCTTATGAGATTGAGTGTTTTGAAGAACACTTTGAACTTTTTTGTGATCCTGCTTTCCCTTCTGTTTTGGAAACTAAGAGTTCCCACACTGTAACTGGACTCTCTTTGAAAATTTGTCTTGTTATGAATCACCTGCAAAAGAGTATGTTTTAGAAACAAAAAAAACACATCAAAGCTTAGCCAGTGTTAGGCTTTCTGATTTGCAGCAAACAGCTCAAGTGATAAGTCTGTTGTGGGAAGGCTTGAAGGCTGTGACTCTTACTTAAAATTATTAGCTGAGTTATTTCTTTCTATTGCTATTTGCAGCTTCTCAGGCTTTGATTTTCTTCTTTAACTCGTTCTCCTTCTTTTGTCAGAGTGTTTTTAGACAGGCTGATATAAGCCAACAAACTGGTAGCTTTGCATGTGAGGATCTTGTGTGCAGCTTTCCTAATGGGCTTTCTGGTTGACTAAGCTTGTGACTTGTAAATTGAAAGCCAGTAATCTTACATGTTGTAGGAGGCCGTGAATGGTGCCAGCCCATTGCCATGCCAGTTTGAAGCCTGGGAAGGTTGCATGATTTTGTGATAAATGCTTAAGGGAAGTCAGCTTGTTCTAACCTTGGGGATTTGAGGGCAAGGGAAGGCTCTGCCTTTCAAAAAGTCTTTTAGGGTCTAGTCAATATGTAAAGCTAATACGGCTGCAACTACACTTCAGCTTTCTCTAAGTCTTCCAAGTTTTACAGAGCAGACATAAAACATCCCATTGTAGCTGACTTAATTTAGGCACTTCCCATACAATTTCTGCTGAAACTTTAGTTCATTATCACTTCCGGTGCTGAAGATTTTCTGGAATAAGAATGGATTTACCTCAGGATTCCGACAGTTGCTTTTGGATTGTAAAAAGTCCTTTTTTTTTTTCTTTTTTTTTTAATAGTATTTTAAAGCTAGGGATTTATTAGGGAAGAAAGCATAGATCACATTACAGAAGAAAAGATATGGAAAGTACCAGTTCTGCTCTAACTACCAGGGCTAAAGCAGCTAACTCCTCTAGGAAAGAAGCAGCTCAGGCAGACTGTGAGGTTATTTTGGTGAAGAGCAGACAGTCTCGAGTGCAAGCAAGTTCAGAAGCCAACTGGAGGGTTATCGAGGCTTTCTATTACGTGTGGCTTTGTAATTCCAAAAGTTGCACTGAACGTGGTGAGTTATTTCAGATCTGCGTAGCGACCCTTCCAGCTACTAAAAATTACTAGGAATTAAGGAACCAAGGGCAGTCCACTACAATTTACTGGAGTGAGGTTTGTATAGAACAACATACCCACTGATTTGGACTTCCCTGAAAAGTGTGCAGAAGTTACCCCTTTGCTTTTTCTCAATAAAAATCTCTTATTTCAGGCAGCGTTGCAATCCCTGTGCCACTCAGCCATCATGCTGTAGAATCACAGAATTATAGAATGGTTAAGGTTGGAAGGGACCTTAAAGATCATCAGGGTGCAACCTCCCTGCTATGAGCAGAGACACCTCCCACCAGACCAGGCTGTGCAAGCCTCATCCAACCTGACCTTGAACACCACCAGGGAGGGGACATCAGCAGCCTCCCTAGGCAACATATTCAAGTGCCTTACTACCCCAATCATGAAGAGTTTCTTCTGATGCCCAACCTAAATCTCCCCTCTTTCAGTTTAAAACCATTACCCCTTGTTCTACCACTGCCCTCGCTGGTGCAAAGCCACTCCCCAGCTTTTCTGCAGGCCCTTCAGTTACCAGAAGGTGTTATCAGGTCTCCCTGGAGCCTTCTCTTCTCCAGGCTGAATAGCCCCAACTCCCTCAGCCAGTCTTCATAGCGTCACCAGAGCAGAGTAGAGGGGCAGAATCCCCTCCCTGGCCCTGCTGGCCACACTTCTTTTAATGCAGCCCAGAACACAATTGGCTTTCTGGGCTCCAGAGCACACTGGTGGCTCATGTCGAGCTTCTCATCTACAACCACCTCCAAGTCCTTTTCCTCAGGACGGCTCTCCAGCCATTCTCCCCTAAGCCTGTATTTGTGCCTGGGATTGCACCAAGCCAGATGCAGGACCTTGCACTTGGCCTTGTTGAACTTCATGAGATTGGTATTAACCCACTTCTTTAGCCTGTTAAGGTTATGGCATCTCTTCCCTCTAGGGCGTCAACTACTCCACACAGCTCAGTATCATCATCAAACCATTGTTGTCCCTCCTCCATTCTCCACTTGCTTGTGCCAGTCTTTGCAGACCTTCCCACCCCTGTGCAGTGTGTCTGATGCCAGCACATGGCCATTCTAACAGACCTGACTCATGTGCTGAAAGCTTAGCCATGTTTGGATATGTAGGCAGCCACAGCACATGTCCGAGCTGGCTGACAGTTGGCATCTGGCTGGACAAGAGTACTCTGACTTCTTGAAAGAGGGGCCTGCAACTCAGACAGCTGCTGTAGCAATCCTGCTATTTAACAGTCAGTGTGGATGCATAGTTTGCACGCACATGTTGTATGCGCACATGGTAATGTTTTCCAGAAATACTCTATGCTGTTTGGAGGCTGGAGTTTTAAATACACATCAGGAAATATCAAAGTTATGATTCACATGGCATCTGTAACGAGACCCATTCCTTGCACTTCATAGCAGTTTGCTCCATTGAACAATAAATTCTATTAATTTTATGCCTTAATATAGACATGGATACACATTCTCAGTCTGTGTGATGTGTTAAACACTTTGTATTTCTTTTCTTTCTTGTGGAGTGGGAACGAAGAATCTGAAATGTACATAGATATCAGAAAGGATGTGTACTAAAAGATTGGGTTGTTGAAGGCAGTGTCGGGAAAAAAAAGTTAGGGACAATTTCCTGTCCTTTTGGGATTACTGATTGCTGTGTTGCAGTGTGTCTTAAGAGCAGCAACCTTTGGTATATTGATCGTGTTCCCATATTAAGAGTTTTAAGAAACCTGTCTTAGGTGGTCCTTCCAGCTCTGTGGGAACATTGCAGTGCTCTTGCAGTTAAGCTGAAGCTTTATGCATTACTTGTTTTATTCTGTCTGATCCTAGCCTTTAATCTACTTTTCCAAATATCATACAGTTGTCAAATGTGGGTGGCAGGAGCTGCACATTTGCATGGACACAAGTAAAGGCCTTCACTGTGAAATAAGTATCTGGAGCACCATGTATGTGAATTCTTATGCTGGGAATATTATACCTGCCTGCAGCTCCACGCTTAGGAGAGAAGCTAGTGTTCTGTGTCTGAAAAAATGTTGGCTCAATAGACAGTTTAACACATAAGACTTTCACATAAGTCTCATGCCAAAGACCCTGCACTGAAAATGTGTGTGTTCAAGAAACGTTTAACACAGGAGTGGCCATGCTCGTCAGTGCAAGTGGCCATGTAGCCTAGTGTCCTCTTGCCAGGAGTGGTGAGCAGCAGATGCCTGAGAAAGAGCATAAGGCAGGTTAAACACGTCACCAGGCTTCAGTCAGTTGGCAGTTCTGAGCATCATGAGCTAGGGATGGTTCCTTTTTATTTAGTCCTCAATGGATTTCCTCTGAGGGGCACGTCTCATTCCTTTTTGTAACCTTACAGACTTTTTTGTTTTAAATCCCAAATATCCATAGTAAAGAATTTTCGGAATTCAGTTAGGTTTTGTGTAAACAAAAACCTTGTCTTGTTTTTAACTTCCCCTTTCCCTCCCATTCCCATGCTGGAAGAAACACTGAGTGCTTGTGCTCCATTTATCTCCTTCAGGCTGCTCATGATTTTATATAATCCTCTCATGTCCACCGTCAGTAATCTCTTTCACAGGTTGAAAACTGACTGTGCAGTTTGAAGGTCAGCAAAAGCATTGAGGAGCTTTGGAAGTCGGTCTGTGCCATGTGTTTCAGGGCATTCTTGCAGCATTTTTTAGATATAGGTTAGTGGAATTTTACTGTACTGTCTTTGGTAAGCATTGTCACAAGCCTTCACTGCAAGAGCTGAATTGGAAGATGGAATTCAAGGGAGTAAATACTTTGTATACTGAGAAAGGAGAGATCATTTGATGATGTAAATGGCAGAGAAGAAAGTTTAAAAAAATGAAAGAAAGATAAATTTGTGGGAGAGGATTTACAGTTAGTAGTACCAGACTTGCATAGATGTGCTGGAGAACAGAGGTCTACTTGATACTGTGGAAAGCCTTTACAGGATGATAACAAGCAGAGAGTAATATGGGAAGCAATTAAAGGAGAAAGGGTTGTCTCTGTCAAATGCTCTCCCTTGCATACTGCCAAAAATCAGACATCTTGTGTCTCTGCTGTTCATATTTAGCAGTAAGAAACACTGGATCAACTATTCTTATGCCCAGGATGCTTTTTTGGTGCTCTTACGTAGGTGTGTATGTTCTCATAAGAATTTGCTGCTGTGCTTTGAGTAGACTTTTCTCCTCCCCCACGCTGCGTGGTGCTCTGTGCCAGTGGCTCAGCTGGGTTACAGCAGGGTTGTTCTTCTGTGTCTTGACAGCCAAGACTTGGAAGCAAATGTGTGTCCATCTGAAGTTTCTCTTTAGAAATTAATATCTCCACTTGCTTTCCATTTTTCTACTGGTCTTTGCCTATGTTTTTCCCTTTTTTTCTCTTCCTTCATCCTAGCTAATGGATTTTTTGGCATCTCTTGTGATCCTTTGCACTTCTCAGAGGGTCAGTAAATGAATCCAACCTTGAAATTACTCTGGTGAGAAAGTGGAAGCAACACGTTTCTCTTTACTCAGAACTACCAACTGACTCATCTGAAGACTGAGGGACAAGGCTTTAGGTCACTTGAGGGTCTGTTTCAGTATTTGGCTTAAGCACCTACTCTTTCCTTCCCTTGCCTCTTGTATTCTCTACTGAGGGAGTTTGGACAAGCACAATTGTATGACAGAATTGCCTCCCCACCAGTTCTTCCTTGAGCTTCCCAAAGGAATGGGTATTAAGGTTCTATAGGTCATGTGGAATAAAGTTGAGGAACAGGGTTTTTGTTGTGTATTTCTCAATCCTAATTAGTGACTATGGTAAAGTGGTCATTTCCAAAGAGTGCTTGGTCATTGTAACTCTGCTGGGTTTGAGGGTGAGCCAGACTGTACTCCTGTTGTTACAGCCCTGGCATAGGGTGCCATTTCCTGGTTTACTCTTTCATATAGTGATTCATGGTGAACTTGGGTGTTTTATTTAGTACAAATATGCATTGCAACCTTGTCTTCTTGAGTGATTATGTCCTTGTCTACTCCAGTCACCCCTACTCAATAGGATTTACAGCTGTCCTTCCTTCCAGCCCCTCCTGCGTGGGTTAGTGACTCTGTCACTGCTGTGTGAATGTCAACTGTACAATGTTTTGAATAGTTTCCTGATGAAGAGTAACTAGTAATATGCCAGTTACTTTAGGTTCCCTCCTTCTAACTCTAACATTCTTAGAAAAGACATGAGACTTGTTGTCCAGGTACTTTGCAGTTCCTTCACTGGGAATTTTCCTTCTCTGAATAGTGAATATATCAGCAAATGGAGAAATGAGAGGTGTATCAGGCATTGGCTAGACTAGCTTGTTATCAACATTTCTCTGCTGTACCAGCTCTATCTAGTGGGTAGTGCAGACTGTGAGATGTCTTAGACGAAGCTTTAGAACTTGACAAAGAATAAGAATGGATTCTAATCCACAAAACACCATGTAGCTAATTGTGCTTTTGAAGCAAGGAGATGCTGATTCTTCTTTCTTTATGGAGGTTTAAGTAGTAATAAAACTACATTTGGCACTCCAGAGAAGTCCTATTGTCAAGCAGCTTTGTCAAGAAGGAGGGAGAGCTGGCAGACTAAGGTGTGTGCTGGAAGTGGAGAATGCTGGAGCCGTAGGGAGTTAGAAATCATGGTGGAAGAAATGGCCCAAGAATGAGGAAACCCAGCAGGGTGTTGGGTATTGGCATGCAATTGAAGTCACTGCTCTGATGGCCCTGTCTGGGTCACTGTCTCTAAGAAGTGTTTGTTCTCTAATGTGTCTGGGTGGCATATCCATGGGGGAAACAATATGCCTGTGTGAAAACAGTTTGTTAGAGATGTGATACTAACCTTTTCCTCTCCTTGCCTCTTTTCCAGTCTCTGTCTGCTGCTGTCTCTTCATACTGTTTCTCTTCCTGTCTGAGCTCACCGGATTCATAGCCACTGAAATGTAAGTAAAAATCATGTTTTCCTTTGTTTGAATGTATGTACATACATGTTTCTTTACAGTGTTACTGTTATCTTGGAAAAATGTGCCTGTAGTTTCAGTAGGTTAGTTGGTTGTCTAATGGTTTTTAGATTCCTTTTAGTTGAGTCCAAATTCAGTCATTCATTCAGCTTTTTAACTTCTTAAAGTATGCCAGGCAAACTTGGTTCTAAAATACTTCAGAGAGATAAAATAGTTTCAGACCTGCTTGCTCCTATATATTTCTCTGTTGAGCACGGTGGATATTTTTCATGTGACCACAGATCACATCAAAAGCTTCTGACCCTTTTCCGTTCTCTTGTGATCAGGTGTGATGTGAATGATAGTTCCAGATTCCCTCTTCCTCAGGCTGTAGATTCCCTTTCCTCATTTGAAATTTGCTTCCCCTCTTCCCCTTTCCTCTGTACTTGTTTGATTCAAGGTGATTTTCAAAAAACAGTGTATTTTTCATCAGTGATACCATATGTTTAAATGTGTGATGCCTCCCAGTTGAATTCACTTGGTCTGTGCTCTGTGGCTGTGGGGTCCCACTACAGACATGGTGGGATCTCTGACATTTCTTTTTCCCCTGACTTCCCTGTGGATAAAATGGGCATCACATTTTGCCAGTCTCCACTGGGTGCTTTTGGAGATGCTTTCTGGGAAAATCAGTTGCATAAAATACAAATTATTATTAGTTTACTGTTAATACTATCTTTAATGTCAGAGCTGAATCTCTGATACATGTAGATAGCTTTACTCAAACATAAGTTTTATTTTCTTTCTTTTTGCCTCTTGAGCTGTATTTAGAAACTTATTTCACAGGTTTTATGCCTGAAGATGAGTTGTCCCAGCTAACCTCTTTGCCACTTTGCTTTGAGCAAAATGGAGATAATTTCCACTTCTAAAAATTTCTCATAGAACAAGTATTTTAGTTAATCCGATATTTTTTTTCCTTGTTCTTACACCCCTCCTGTCTTGAGTTAAGCTTTTCGTAATAATTGTAACACAACTACCTTTGTTTTGGGATCTAGGAAACATTCTCCATCATCCTGGTGATGTGGCAGTGAGCTCACTAGACTGTGATGCACAGTTCCTGGATAGTTAGGAAGGGTGGAACTTCTGTCAGACTTACCTGTTGCTATCTGGACCATCACGTGTCACTGCTGAGCAAAAAAGCTCTGAAATGCCTTGTGTTTGTGTGTTGTCTTTAGATTGACCATGCCTTGCATGGCTTCTGGTAACAATGAGGCTTTTTCATTGGTTTTGTGCAGCTCTGACTTGGCTCAAGAGTATAATTTCAATAATAAGTTTAACCTTAAGTAATGTTTAACCTTAAAAGAGTAGTATAATTTAGCTGTAGCTAATTTTTATGCCCATTGCACATTTATTTCAGAGATGGTATCTTAGGTTTCTTATTCACCATTTCTTTGAATTCAGTTCTGTGCATTTGCTTGCAAAGGAGGGTCACCTTATCAACCAGCTTCTCTCAAGAGCAGAGTTTTCTTGGTTTAAAAGAGAAAAGCTAGACAAATTACTGCAAGTAAAATGGTACTTTTTGTTTTGCTCCTATTAGATCTCGTTCTCTCATCTAGTTTTCTTTGTTGTTTTTTTTCTTTTATTTAATGCTTTGCTGGAGAAATTAGTAATACTCAAATAATTTTGATCCAATTATTTGAGTGCACAAGCCTTTATGTAGTGGTAGTTTTCTGACTAGAGATTTCTTTCTGAATAGCAAAATTTTATGATTCTTTGAGGCCTCTTCATGATTTTTTTTTAACAAAATGATGTATTTTCCACAAAGATATTGGAAGTGCTGTAAGTTCCTGCATGTTCAACTGACAAGTTCCTCATTAAAACCTCAGTGAGATTGTAAACTGCCTTTCTCAGCAGGAACTGCGTAGGGAAGATGTGTTTGTAAGCAATAAAATAGTAAAATTTTGGAAGAGGATGTCATGGAAGAGACTGAGAAAAATAAATGTAGGGATCTGATTTGTTGTGGCCCATCCACCACAATGGCTCTCAGAATATGCAAGCCTCCTTCTGATGAGTTATAGATCATCAAAACCTCTCCTGCTGGGAACAGATTTGTGACTAGGCTCCCCCTCTAACAGCAGAAATACTTCAGAAAGTCACATAACAAAGTGCTTCCAAGTTCAGCAACTTCTGAAGTAGAAGTACACTTTTTCCATTTCCTACTCATTTCTTTTTCTGCTGGGAAACCTGGTACCATAAAGGTGTTCAAAGATGTTTCTGACCTCCTGTGCTTCCCTTTCAAGTGTGCATTACTGGCAGAGTGCTGTGAGGTAGTATGGTCTCTTCATTGGGAATGTGGTTGGAGCTCTACATAGTCTGGATCGAATGATGTCAAAACTCTGTGCTACCATTTAAACTGGGTGGTAGCAAATAACAGGGGAGATAAAATCTCAAAAGATTTTGAGCTTTCTTTGCCTATAAATCAAATACTTCTGAAGATACTGACAATTCCTTCTTTGCAAATTGTTCGATTCCCATCAGCTTTTATTGTAAGCTTTTAAGTTTGTTTTTTTGTGTTAAGAATCTGCTACAACAGGTATCTCTCCCAGCTTGAAGTTTCCTGGTCTCAGCCAGGATCTGAATGATTACCGGGAGTGTGCGCTTACAGGGGGTGAGTTTTCTTGCTACGAGACTGCATCAGTCTTTCTCCTCTTGTGTAATACTTCCTGTAAAGCAGTCATGTGCTTCACAAAAGCCAGATTGCGTGGGGATAGCTGCACATTTTTGATGGCAAGGTGAAATTGAGAGTGCTTGGCCTGCTGCCTCACGTCAGAGATGTAGCAGGTTCGCTCCTGTGGACTCATGCTTACCTCAGAGCCCTATTATGTCGAGTAATTGTGCATGGTGTGCGAGTTGACAGCCTGCTTCAGGGCAAGTCAGCAGCAACCTCAGCAGCAGTGGTACCCACAGAATTAACTGTCTCAAGGCTCACCAACAGGAGGTTTCTTTGGTATCTGCATCCAAGTGAGAGGTCAGTGTGGTTTGTTGAACTCATGCTGTAACATGAGAAAATAAGGTCTGCTCCGCACCGCACGAACCGGTGCTACCTTCTCCCCACTGTTGGGCTTTCTTCTACATTCATGTGACTGTAGCAACTTAAATTCCTGGTCTTACTGGACATCTCAGTGTGGTCACTCTTGCCCAACTTCAAAGCTGTTTTTCCTTGACCAGCCCATTGTCTTAGCATTTGTAGTCTCAACTGCTGAAGACTTGTCTGGATGGCAGAAGGTAGCCCATTGTCTTAGCATTTAACTGCTGAAGACTTGTCTGGATGGCAGAAGGCCAAGAAATCACACTCTCATCTTGAGGATAACAGTCATAGCGCTAAAACCAAACAGATTACCTATGTAGAGAAGACAGTGTGCATCACAGTGGCTGTGTCATAACTCATGTGGGCATTTCTAATGAGCTCTAAGATTGCATCTGTGCATGGGAGCTTCCTGCAGTTCGAAAGCAGAACTAAGATACTGTGCGTTGCAGCAGACGTGTGGGAAGTTGGTGTGGCAAAGGTAATGTGCTGTAAAGGCACATCCTATGCTGCTGCTGCTCAGCTTCCTCTGTAGACCAGGCCCAAGAAGGGTATAAAAGTCCTCATTTCTCATCTTCTAGGTTTTATTGCGTGACCCTAACAGGCAGTTCTCTGAGTAGCTATGAAGGAAATCAAAGGTTGGGTTTTAGGTGGGGCTGCATCCTTTTCAGGAAAAGCACAGTGAAGGGCTGGTGAGGAAAGATTTTTTTCTTTCTTTGCTCAGCCACAACCCATCATTGCAGTTAAGGGGAGGATGAATTTAACTCTGGAAATCAAGGGTCTTCTTGATTATATTTTTCTTTTCTGTTCAGAACAAGAGTGACTGAAGATTTAGTCCAAAACAAGAACATAGACTAACTTTCTCAGTTCTGTAAAAGACAGATAAAGAAAAGGAGGTCAGTGCTTCACATCTGAACCTCTGCAAAGCTAACAGTGTGTAACATGGTTGTCCCACTGAGCAAATTACACCAATGGATGAAGAAATGAAGCTGAAGTGTTATCTGGTATTTCCTGGGCAGGATCAGTAGTAGGTTCAGAGTTGAGGGTAGATTGAGGGCTAGACATTGCTGGGCATAACTTTAGCAGCCTTCCTCATTCATTCAGCTGTTATGTTGCAAATCAAGAATGTCTACATCACCTATCTCTTTTCTAATTAACTCAGATCAGTGCTAGAAGTTAATAGCTGGCAAGATGATAATCTTGCTGGTTTATCACTGTAATTAGGTCATGAATTATGTTTGTAGGATCAATGAGAGTTTTCCAAGTATTCCATCATTAAGGAGGCAAGATGTAATTAACTGACCTAGTCTGCCTTGTATTGGCAACCGGGGAAGGGGTAGGAGGGCATGAATGTGGTATTTGTGGTATGAATGTAGCTGCTCCACAGTAATTCATCTGCCACAGCACACTATAGAAGGCAACAGTCTGCTCTTGGCAGTGTTTGGTTGTTTTTTTTATTGTAGTAACAGTCTGAAGTGACAAGTTTGCCACTTGGAAGACTGTGCCCCCTTGCAAGGCCATTAATTCCTTAAGCAGAGCATCTGTAATAAAAATACTGCCTTTGCATAAAAGCATAAATTATGAGCAATGCCCAAATAATTTGTTTATTTAAGGTGACCAGATCATTCCTGGGGGGACACCTGCTTGCTTTAAATCTTTATGAAAAACACATTGGCCTATCTGTGAATATCACATACCCCAGCTTGTGTGCTGGGGTCACATCATGTGCAGGACAATTTGCCTGTTCATGCAGGCTGTCAGATACCCCAAATGTGAGAGGAAACAAAACACCAGGAGCTTCTGAGACTAAAGTTGCTTGATCACACTGGATTCATTTGCATACCCGAGACTTCTGCAGAATTGTTATCATACCTGCCTTCAGAGGTTTTTTGTCCCTTAGCTTTCCAAGGTATGTGGAATGTGTGCTGTGGCTCTTAACCCATGAAAATTTCTCATAACAACCTGCAGGGTCAAGCTGCACCTGCTGTAAGCGGGACAGTGTGATCCCGGTGCAACAAGAGTTCCTTCTGCTGGAAACTATAACCTCAGAGCTGAAGCCATCTGCGTCAGGAACACAGTGCTGGAACTCATATGTTCTGACACTATGCTGGAGATGCAACTCTACCTCCACCAGCTCATCCAGTTGAGGTAGATGAAATTCTGGAGCAAACCAGTCCAACATAGTGAATATAGCGTAGTAGTCAGAGAGGAATGGGAGTTGTAATCCTGCTTTTGCCGTGGACTGACCTTGAGACAGACACTTCTCTGTAGAAGGATGTAACACTTAGCTGCCTACCTCTCAGGGGTGCTAAGAAGCTTAATTAATGTTTGCGTAGTAACATGGAGATTACCTAATAAAAGGTGTTATAGACTTGTGTTATTTGTCCTACTATGCGTGTGTGGGTTTGCAGGAAGCGGAAGGTCATGTCATGATGTCATTTGCAGTTTGACTCAAATCTACGTCGATGTCTTTTGAACCCTTCTCCTCCTTCCTGGCTCCTGGAGAACTGTAATTCCTTCCTCTGTAGGACAGTTTGTTTTCTGAGCTGAGACCTAATCTGGGACATGGACCTTCTCAGTGATTGAAATTCAGGGCATAGAAGGAAGATTATAAGTGGCAGAGCAACAGACATATGCACAATTTACACATGCTAGAGAATTTGTTGATCTGCTTGATGTTTCTTTGCACAAATTCAGAAAAAGATGGGTTATGTGTCTTGTGTTGGGTCTCCTCTGGTCTGGCACAACTGAAAGGATGGTAGTTCAGGAATCTCAACTTTGGATGGTTGTGTTTCTGAAAGGTGGTTGATTAGAGTTGAAATTGCAAGCAGAGCTAAGTGAGCTCAGCTGAAGAAGTCTTTTGAGAAGCTCTGCGCTCCCTCAAGGAAGAACAGTTATTCTCCCTCTTAGCTTTAGGGTCCGTAAGACCAGAGAGTGCCTCCTGGGAGTTGGAGGACAAGATAAAATGCAGCTAGCTGAAGTAGGTGGTTGTGTTCTCTGTATGGCTGATGACTGGGGAGGAGGGTGTCTGGTTTGCCTGGTTTGCTGTGAAAGCAGGAGAAAAAAGGCTAAAACTTGAAGCAGAGACTAGGACAAGGAGGACAGAAGACAAAGATGTGTTTATAGAGAACCCAAGTAGTGTGTGAAGCTCTGAAAGGTCAATGCAGTATTTCTTCTCTTGTATTCCCAGGGCTGCAGTCTCTTCGGCTGTTCACTTCAGCTAAAGTGCCTGATGTTGGTGGCCAGGGCAGCTGAGTGGAATAAGTTACTGGAGAAGTTTTGTTTCTGGGGAAACAAAGTTGTTGTGTCATAAATCCAAGTTGTAAAGCATGGGGAACAGGTCTGGCTTTCTTTGGATAAAATCTTAAAAGAAATACTGAGCCTTCTTGCTGCTGTTTCCCCCTTTGAGTCTCTCTTGCGTGCCATTTGCATGATCTGCAATCTTAGCCAGAGTCCCTCCAACTTCTTCTGTGTAATGCTCCAAGTCTGTAAGCAAACTGGATAAGGAACTGAGAAGCCCAGCAGTATCACTCAGGAATGTGAAATATTTCAAAGTGGCTTTTTCTAGAAGTGAAGCAGATTCTTTCTGTGTGGATCGTGGCTCCTGCTGTGTGGAGAAACTTTCCTCCCTTTCTTTGAATCAGTGGTGGGAGGCCCCACAGGGAAAGAAGTCCACCTCTTGTGTCCTGTTGCCCTCATTGTACTGTCCTACTTCTGTTCCTCACTCCTGCTTTGTTGTGCCACTTTTATTGAAATAGTCCTTAATATCAACCAGTAAAATACCAACTCCTATACGCTTAGGGTCTTGGGAAGAGGTACGTGCCATCTTTGAAGTTACAATATGACCCCATACAGTGCCTCTCTGAACAGCCATAGAAGCAGCTGTGTCTACAGTGTCCTTCTGTCTGACATCAGGTTTTATTTCCCATGTGACCATCCCAGATTCACTGGTCAGCACTGTTACTTCTAGGACACTTTATGTTCTAGGAGAGACAACTATAAATTAGAGCCAACTTCATTTATTCTACTGGAGACGTTCCCTTCAGGGAGAGTTCCTAGAGCTGGTAAACAGTGCTTTTCCCAACATCCCAAGATTGTCCGATTAAATAATAGGAAGGCTGTGTGCAAACTGGCTTCTTGGCTCTGGGGAGGAGAATGGCAGGGCAGGTGTTGAGTGCCAGTTCTCTGTCAGCTCCATCCAGACTTAGGCAGTTCATGGGGATATCCTGGAAGGAGTAGCCTTGATCCTGGAAGTTTTCTTTCCCCAAGAGGTTTCCAGACTGTATTTTGGGAGTGAAATTTCCAGTTTGTTGAAAATGGTGACATTTCTCCTGAGGTTTGCCCCAGAAAGCCCGTAGTGTGTTCTGGTGCACTTGATTCCCAATAGTTAGGGGGAATCGCAGTAACAGTGCAGGTCAGCACAAAAGGTGCAGTTTGGAGGCTCTGATAAGAAACCTTGCAGGGTTTGTTAGCTCTGGCCCTCTGCAAGAGGTGATGCTGTCAGGAGAAGACAGTGGCAGGAGCTGGGATGGAGAAGCAGGGGTCAGCAGGCAGGGGGCTCCATGAAAGGTGGCACTGCAGGTCCAAGGGAGGGGACAGAAAGACAGACAATTACAGATGTCTGAGGAGTGATAGGGTTATGAAATTGGGAGCATGAGTAAGAGAGGGACAGGGGGCTAGTAGGTAAATAGGAAGAGGAGGAAGTGGCCTTGGGCCTTGCCCAGGGACAGGTTGGGATCTGTTGGTCCAGTGACCAGAGTGGAGGACAGGAAACTAATTTCCTTTATCTACAACTATTAGGCTGTGTGATGTGGACAAACTGGCCTACTTCTCTTTGCCTTAGTGATCTGGTCTGCGACCAAGTGACCTAATCACTTGCCTTCCTATGTAAGATCTTCCATAGAATCCCTGGGCACAGTTCATCCTTTGACTCCTACCAGAAGCCACTTCTCACTTGCTTGTCACTGAAAGGTTTATGTGTCTTTGCTTACAGACCACATCTTTTCTGACAGGTTCAGAACTGGAAATCAGTAAATACAAATACTGACCTTCCTACAGCTTTCCTCTGGAGAGCTGGGATGTTCAGCTGCAGTGCTGAACCTGATGTGCTTCTCTACCAACTCTGGCTTAGATTCCTCCTTTTTGCTAGTAACTTCAAGTTGCCGGCAGCACCAGCTGGGCATGGCCCACATCTCAGAGGGCGAGAGCTGGGAAGGAGCCAGGTGCTGTTATGAAACAAGTTGGCTGGCAACTGGGATCTTGATGGGAGGACTCAAGAAGAGCAGAAGGGTGCATTGCTTTGGGGGATTAATGCCTGTCCTGGCTGGAGCTGCTCCTCGCAACCGTATTTGGACATATGACTTAATCCTGATCTCTGTCCAACCTCCCAGTAATAAACAAGTAGAAGATTTAATGCATTCCACCCAAGAGGAGAGGGCTCAGCCAAGAAGCTTCTAACTAGGTCACTGATGAGCAATCTTTCCCCTCCCTCTGTGTCATTTTTATTAATCACTTGAAAAATACATTGAGTAATGATTGCAAGCAACTTGTCAAGCCAATTAAAAACAGAGAAAGGTAGGGCTGTGAAGCTGAAGACAAATGCTGTGCTGGTTTTAAATGAGTGTCTGTAAACCCCACTGACCTGTGAGTAATTACATCCAAAAAAATGGGCAGCTGTGTGTTTCTCAGTGTGAAGGCTTGTTTCTTCTGAATCCACAGGGCAAACAGTTCATTATGGTCCAGAGATGTATCACCAGAGCAAAATCACTTTGAATCTGTCTTGTAGCTGCCCTTAGTCTGTTTGTCTATTAGGATATAGACTCTTCAGCAAGGGCTTGTCAAAGGGTTTCACACACTTTGAGTGTGAAATAAAAATAATACAGAGCACTTACTTGGAAAGGTGGTTTATTCTATGTAGCTTGACTGTAAGTGCCCTTAGCTTTAGAATCTGTCCAAATGGAAGGTAAATTGTCAAATCTTTTCATTTGATGAGGCTGAACAGTATTGGACTTTGAGGGAGAAAGAGCTGCTAGGTAATCTTGCCATCTTCTTGGTTCAGTGTGGTGTGTTTCCCTCCAGGACCATTCAGCTGTGCTTGTGTTGGGTTTTTTGGTTTATATTTTTTGTGTCAGATGGATTTGATGTGCCAACAATAAATATTTATACTCTTGTATTCCTTTTACTCTGTATCTGGATTTTGTCTTCCTGAAATCCTTGCCAGCACTGTGGGTGCTATGAAACAAGATTACTCTTTGGGAGACTGTTGCATAGTGTGTTAGATCCTGCTGTCCAGGATGTTTCTTCCCATCTGTTCCTGATTCAAATCCTCTTCTCAATTTTAGTCGTTGCTTTTGGTTACCATTCATAGATTGAAATGAGACATTAAGGAGGGAGATAGATACAAGTATGCTATGCTGCTTCTGCTGTGTCAGATGGCCTTAACGGCAATTAGTTACACAAATAAGCTTTTCTTAAAGGGGTAACAGCCTAGGTATGTGGAGGGCTAACACGTTAGCCTGCCACCTCTCAGGTCCTTGTTTTTTATCATCTTTGGAATCTCACGTTAGGGAAGGGGGCAGGAAGAATAAATCAGAACAGGAGTTTTGTTTTCTGCTGGTGCAAGAGACTTTTAGAGCTTTAAATTCTCATTTTTTTCCTTCCCATGCAAGTTGGTTTTTTTTCCTATGGAAAGTAGCTTTGTGGCTGAACCCATCAGTGTTTTCTGTCTTCCAGAGTTAATGAGCTCTATGTGGATGACCCTGACAAAGACAGTGGAGGTAAAATAGAAGTGAACCTGAACATCAGTTTGCCAAACCTGCATTGTGAATGTGAGTACCTATTTTAATTTATCAGTTTTTCTTTGCATTTTGGGTAATACTTGAAATGAGCCCAAACTGGTACTGTCGCCCTTCTTCTGTAATAGGATGGATGGAGATCAAGTAGCTGCATCCTTTGCCAATACCTTCTGTTCCAGGCCAGGGCACCTGTTCTCTTGGACTATGTGCTTGCTCTGCAGCCTGTGTTAGTGGCTGACCTCCCTTGCTGGCATCTTTCTGAATCTTGTTTCCTTTCTTCAGAGCAATCTTTTTGTCTCTGGGAGCAAGAAACCTCCCAAGTTTCATTCGTAACTCTGAAAGCACCAGGTAGTTGGCTTTTCACAGGTCACCTGCCTTGTCCACCTTAATTTTTCTGTCTGTGTAATTGAGGTTGCAGTGAAGGTGAGGGTAGGGGAGGTACATTTGCATCAAATAGGCAGTCTGAAAAGTTTGTTTTAAAAGTTCTTTCTGAAGAGCTGGTAAGACGTTTCATATTTGACAAATTATGTTCCAAGCACAGTTTAGTCCAGTGTCAGAAAAAAAATGTGGATTTTTTTCCCAGTAAAAGCAATGTGTACTTTTCCTATGCAACCTTCCTGTTATTTCTTTTGTTTTGATTTTTGTCTCTTTCCCTCCCACCCATGCAGTAGTTGGATTAGACATCCAAGATGAAATGGGAAGGCACGAAGTGGGTCATATTGACAACTCAATGAAGATACCTCTCAATAATGGAGATGGCTGCAGGTTTGAGGGCCATTTCAGCATCAACAAGGTGAGTAGGGAACAGCAAAGGATGAGTGTGTGCTGGCTGGGGAAATGCTATCAAGATGCATCTGAAAAGTGTTCAGGAAAATCTGTGTCAGTGTCTCTCTTGCGGAGTGTGCATTCATGACCCTAATCATTAGTTAGGTTAAGTCTGCAGAAAAATGTGGGCAGAGGTGGCTGCATAGTTAGACGACAGAGAAATGTGTTGAATCAGGCTTTTTCTTCTTTCTCTGGAGCAGGTAATTGAGACAGCATCTTTCAGCAGCAGAGAGCAGCTCTGTGCTGCAGCTGGGGCTGCCTAGTTGCAGCAGCCTGATGTTTAGGGGTTGTATGAACTCCCTACAAATGCTGAATGGCTTCTGTGTTTATTCCTCATGACTTTTGCACCTCTAAAATGTGACTCACTGTGCAGAGGTCTTTGGCAATGTCTCTATCCAAGTGCTCTTTTGTTCTGAGAGCCGCAGAATGACAGGAATGTTCCCTACTAGAGGGTGCCAGCACAACAGAAGCGGCTCCGTGCTGAGATGTTTGGAATCCATGCACAAGGCCTCGCGCATGCTTTGTTGGATGCCCTGCTTCTGTCTCAAAGAATGAAAATCCAGGCCTGGAGGAGGCTCCTCTCTGGGATGGGTGTGTTCAGAATTGAATAATCTTGCTATGTAATGCTGAAGATGACTAGCTGGGGTGGGGGAGGCAGTGGTGTGGCCCACTGATGTCCTAAGAAGGGCACACCCTTTATTCACGCCTCCTCATGTACCACAGGCTACAAAATCTTACTTCCTTCTTTTCCTCCCAGGTCATGCTAAATCGCATCTAAAAATAACAGGCAGAACCTCTTACTGGTTCTCTGGCATGGAAAGGATTAGGGACTTTAAAAGAGGACATTTCTTTCCTTGCCTCTAAACCACCAAGAATACTGGCAGCTGGTCCACAAAACTGGGAAAGGGCTTCTTGAAAGGTAGATCTTGTTCTGTTAATTCCCAGAGCACAGAGCTTAAATACTTGGGGTTTTGTCTACTGGATGTGGTGTGTTCTGCTCACCAAAGCAATGCAAAAAAGGGCTGCTGTGTGAGGCAGAGAGGAGCTCCCTTCACTGCTTCATCTGTGAAAGGCCACTAATTGCGTTGTCTCATATAGTGGGTGGGGCTGCTGGCAGAGGTAGGGGACCAGACCCAGGACTTCTGACTCTGAAAACCTGAACCTCTCATTTGTGAACTGGAAGTCTTCAGTCCCTTGGCAGATATTTTATGGACTTACGTATGAGCTGGTATCTGGAGTGGGACGTGGCCAGGCTTTGAAACTTGACCACGGGTTGCACTTGGGTGTTACTTTCAAACCTGAAGAGAGAGGACAAGGCAACAGTGAGAAGATTGTGTGTACTTCTTACTGCAGAGTCTGCCACCCTGTTTACCAAGTTTGTGTATGACACAGCTTGTGTCCACACCTGAAAGTGTTCCCAGGAGTGCACTGCTGTTCCTCAAGTCATTTCAATTAGCTTTCCTGAAAGCATATGGAGCCAGCATGTGGCCTCCCATGGCCCTGCTGGTGAGGTGTCTCTGCAGAGAGCACAATGAGCACCAGTTGTATAACTGTTCTCCCACTCTTATCTTAGGCTGTGTCAGATTCCTCCTCGGTGTTGCCAAAGGGTTTGCAAATCAAGACTGCTTTATTTCCCAACTTTTTCTTGCTAGGAAAAAATTCTTGCACCCTCCGTAACAGCAATTGAGCTCAATCTGTTGAAAGATTTCACGGAGTAGGGCTAGTGACCTGAATAGTGTGTGCATGCTGGAGTGATCTCATTAGAATGACACCAGTGCTCATTTTTTGTCTTGGAACTGAGTCCTTAGGTGAACTCATTCTTACACACAATGTTCTCAAAAGTAAGGTTGCTCATGGCCAGGACTACAACAGGAATATATCCACAGCTCTCTTGGGTTGTTCTGCAGCAGTGGGCCCATTTACCAATGCAAGATGTGGGAGTAAAAAAATTAAGCAACTGTTTGTTGCCTGTCAGAGACATGAATCTTGCTTTAATGAAGATGAAAGACATAGCCTTAAGTGTTAGGAATCCCTGAAGTTGGGAGTGATCCACTCATCGCCTCCTAGTCAGCAGCAGTGGCAGTGTGAGGGTGCCAGACTCTTGGATTGTGGGATGTAACTGATCTCAGCTCTGTGCTGTGGTGGTGTTGGTCAAGTGCAGGAAAGTATTTCAGAGTCTTTCTCTGACATGCCAGGGGTTGGCCACTGCTAAGTAGATACAGCCCGCTAGGCTGGATAGATCCAGGCATTTCTGCTTCATATCACAGAGTGCAGCAATGCCTGGAGGGATAAAATGTGAAATCCTGTCTTCCTTGTCTTGATTAATTTTAGGTCCCTGGTAACTTTCATGTATCAACGCACAGTGCCACTGCGCAGCCGCAGAATCCTGACATGACTCATGTCATCCACAAGCTCTCATTTGGGGACAAGTTACAGGTGAGTGTCTTCCTTGAAAATTCCCTGGCTCTAGGGGAAGGAATGCAGTGAGAGTGACTTAGTATTATACACTTTGGTTTTATGGAAGGGCCATGTACAGTGTGGGGGGGACATAAGAAAGACTGCCTGGGTGAACGAGCTCGTCTTTTGCATTCATTCAACGTACACTCAGTGCAGAAGAGTTCACAAACTGTTTATATGCCACCACTTCAGGAAGGAGCAGTGTTCAGTCATGCAGTAACTTTGCTGTTTTCATCTGAAACTGAAAGTGCTTTTGGAAAACTATGTGGCTGTCTTCCTGCAGGGAGTAGAAATGAGGATTTGTGGCTTTGCGAGCTCTTCTGCAATGCTGTTTTCAGTATTAATACAACAAACAAATCTTGACTGCCTTTGCAGAGGAGCAGTGAACATACTAAGGGAAGATGTGTGCTCGCTACTGTCTTTACTATGGTACCAGTGAAGTTCATTTCAATTCACTTCACTTTACCTGTACAGCAGACACCTGTTAGTCAAATTTGTTCTGTGAAACACAAGTTAGACTTAGAGCTACCAGTTCCTTGCTGGGAAGAAGCTGAATGTGTGCACTTGCCCTGTGGATAGGGTTTCACCAGGTGTTGCAAGTTATGTAATAATTTCTGATTTCTCAATAAGGACAGATTACAGCACTTCTCTAGCCTACTTCCAAGGAGCAGGCATCATAGGTGGGAGTTATATATGTGCACACCCAGTTTGCGACTCACCCTAAACAGTGCTTACCCATAGTCTCTCTGTAATCTTCTTTCCTCAGCACAGACGTCTCATTAGTCTGCTTCTTGTACACCCACTTCCAAAGCCCTTTTTCATGCTAACAAGTCTAAGCGTTGCTTTGTAGTCTTCTGACTCTGCTCCTGGCTTCTTTTTGGAAATATCTTGTGTGGGAACGCTGCAATATTAGCATATAAATAAGCTTTGCTTAATGTCTGTAAAGCATATTGAGATTATGAAAAATATTAGGTAAGTGCTAATAGGGAGCTCTGCAGTTTGCGTGGGAAATCAGTGCTCCAAGGTAGCGTTCCCATTGTTTTATCATGGAGACTTTGAGTAATGGAACTCAAGTGTGAATCAGCATGAATGAGATGAGAAGTCTGGACAGTTGGAGGCAAAGGAGCAAGTGTGTTTGGTTCTGGTGGTGAGAAACCTGTCTAGCAAACATGTAGTTGGCTCCTGAGTTGGACAAGTTCTGATGAGTACTTCCAAAGCTCAAAATACTACTCATCATCTCCCTACACAAGAATAGAGCGTGTAGGTGCTGCTGATTCTGTAGGTAAACAGGAGTTCAACAGCACAAATTAAAGAAGGATATGTTCACTAAGTAGGTGCTAGCAAGATTCAGCAAGCAGTGTAGAGAGCCAGCAAGTATGAAGAGCTTTCAATCTGTGTAGATATACCTTTGAATATTTTTGGTTGTCTCCACCTGCTTTGATGTAATATATGCTCATGTCTTGAAGGGAATGAGGAGCTTCTCATTTGCTTGTGTCATGTGCTGGGAGTTAGTTCTTTTAAGTTGTTACTGGCTTGTTCAGAGTGGTCCATTAAGGTTTATGCTGTGTTCTCCAGAAAAACCAGTATGTTTGAAGTAGAGATTTTAATACTGTCTGGCATCAAATGAGCTTCAGTTCTTCAACAGTAGTTAATGCACAATAGAGGCAGTCTTTTTGTCGATTTTTTCCTCATGTAGATGAGACTAAAATTCAAACCAATGAAGTTCTTGCATGTCAGCTAACCTAGTAAAAGAGATGTGGAAAGTAGGAGATTATATGCTTTTAGTCATTATTCTCTTGAGAGCTAGATCATGGTGTTGAATAATCCTATTTTTAACCTTAGTAAGAGGTCTTGTTTTCCCTTGATAGTTGCAAGGTTGGGAGTTATTTTATCCTGCTGTTGGACTCTGCTTGGGTTATATGTCCAGTTATATGACTTTGCATGTGTTTGTAGAGGTTAAAGCCAGGGTGTTCAAGGCCCTGGCAAGCACCTTTTTGAGCTCTTAAGTAGCAGCAGAATTGAAGTGTTGGCACTGTTCAGCTACTAACTAGCCTCCTGTGCCACTGCTCCAAGCAGTAGATGTGGCTTCAGCAGTGCAGCACAGTCCTGAGAACGTCAGGCTGAACAGACTTGCTTAAGTTTTCTGTTGCAAAGTAATTTTGTTATTGTGGCCAAAATGTTACTGCTTGTTGAAGTCCTTCCAGGTACTTAACAAGGTACAAACAAGTATGTTCCCCCAAGGAACACACCTGTGCCCTTTGTAGAGCAGAGATTAATTAGCAATCTATGCACAGCAGGTATTGTATTAGGAGTCCAGAGTATTCCACAAGGAAAATCATGGTAAAACATCAGACTGGGAGTTACAAACGTCATCCATGTTGCAAAGACAAGAGAGGCAGATGCACCGAAGAACCTGATGGCACAGAAACAGGCAGTCGTGGAGATGTCTGGTGGCTTTTTTTGTGTGGTAGCCCTGGAACTCACAGCTTTGCAATTCATTGTGTAGGAAGGTGCAGAGCAGACAACTCTTATGTATAAATAGATGTTTGGATGCTGGGGAGCCAAGAACAAGAACATAAGTGCAAATATACCCCTACCTCACAGGACAGATAGAGTTGTTTGCTGAGTGACCACTCAAATATTTACTGTTAGTGTTTGAAGTGGACCTTAGAGTCTCTGGCCCAGATATGCCATAACAGATTTCTCAAGTGTACCAAGAATGGAACATAACACTGTAGCCCAGTCCAGAGGGTTCTCTTTCTTCAGATGTTTTTTACAAGGAGTAAAGAATATGTGCAGTCTGCATATGTAGTTTGGAAATGGTTGCTGTTGTGTAAAAGATTTGAAATACCAGCAGACTGAAAAGCTCTGTAGAAGATTCAGCTCTTGCTTTTGCTCTGTGCTTGTTACTAGCACCTTGCCAGGTGAACTTGCTGATGATTTTGTCTCTCTAGAATTTACTTTCTCAGGAGAGAAACGGGTTCAGTTGCTGCTTCCTCCAAAGTGTCATCCACTCCGTAGCATTCAGAATAGGGAAGCAGCCAGGATGAAACAAATACATCCACATATTATCAGTTATTGAGAGGGTCTGGGAAGGAGATTGCATTGCCCTGTTAGTGAGATGAAACTGTCACACCCATGACCAAATACTTCCAAACTCTTCTTCCCTGTTGTCTGGCTTAAAGGTCAGGAATTTCTGTGTTGTGGAGTTACTTGTCCTTTCTGTGTAGCATATTCTGCATTATGTGAATGTTGCAACCTCTCATCTACAGCTGTTGCTGTGGGCTTTTCCATGTCTAGAGAGTTCACAAATTTATAATTCTGTCTGTGGACATCAGACTCCAGATCCTAGTATGAGGAAGGCATAGGATGGAAATCCTGTTATATTTGCATGCCTGGGACCAGCTGCAGGAAAAGCTGAATGGATGGTAGTGTTGGCATGTGTGTCTTTCCCATCTTCAAGGACACAGTGTGCATGGTGTGAAAGCTGGGCTGAGAAGTTAGAGCTGTTCAAGCCCAGCTACTCAGACATTTACAGGAGAACTCTTGAGTTTTAACCTGAGTATGACTCTCATTTTTTTCCCTTTCAGCCTGATTAATTAATTTCACAGTTAACTATGCAAAGCTCTTAGGAAATACCTCACCATGAAATTTCACAACTGGACTCTTCCAACTGCAATTCCTTTAGCTTTGGAGTGGTTTTGAAGTTTCGCATTGTAAGATGTTGTGAAATTAACTTTTTTACTTGGAATCAACCTCTCTGGTGACAGTCACTGAAAGATATTTCAAGTCATATTTTACTGGGTTGAGAATTTGGTTTCAGAAAGGTTAAATCAGGCTGATCTCCTTGTTACAGGATAGGACAGGGAAGCAAAGATCAAGGCTACCAAGTCAGAGCGTAGTTTCTTCATATGTCTTTTTGCTTTCCAGGTCCATAACGTTCATGGAGCATTCAATGCCTTGGAGGGAGCAGACAAACTCAGCTCAAATCGTATGTATTCTTGGTGATTACAGGTCATAACTACCCTCTGCAGGAGGGAAAACAAGGTCATTCATGCAGCCCTGATGTATCCAGGAGTCTTTAATTTGCCTCTTAAACCAAAATGATCCAGACATTGCAGACTGACATTTGCATTTTCTCCAGAGCCATAGAGAAGACTTAGCACAACTCTTCTGCAGCCTGGACATTGTCTCCAGCTTTGTTATGACCAACTCAGAATTACTGGGTTTTATTCATATCTTATTGCTGTAGCTTCTGTTTGCTACTATCACCGCCACCAGAACTTTTCCTTGTTGTTATGTTGCAAGTTAGCTCTTACTTTTAAGACCTACTCTGTGGCTGGAAGGACAGATGTTTTCATTGCCCTTCTTTATGATCAGCAAAACAAAAGGAATTTTCCAGTGCATGCTACAATTCGTCATAGTTTTTCTCCTTCCAGTGTTCAGGCTCCTGCAGGATATTGCTCTTGTCCACTTCTTTGAAAAAAATTTCCATGGCTGTTCCTGAAGCTAGGCAATTCTGGTTTGTTTTTTTTCCCCCCCCCAGGAGCCAAATGTCATTGCGTTACATTTGGCCAAAGGATCCTGCAGAGAAATAACTTAGGTTTCTGTTTTTGAACTGTTTCAGCAGACATAAAAAATGGCACAAGCTATTTAAATAACAAGGAAAAAAAGTTGTTAAGCAGCTGTAGGAGAAAGGAGAAATTAAGATGGGTGCACAAGAAATGGGGTTATGCAGGTTGTGATGCCTCAGATTTTCCTGTCAGAAGAAGCTCAGTGAGCTGCAGCTCTAGCCTTAGCTAGATCTTGATTCAAGTGTTTTGTGGTGCTGGTCTTGTCATTTATAGTTGCAAGCAGTTAGGAAGGTTCAAGTGACTCAAACTCATCTCCATGGGTTGTGGTACTACAGAAGTCTCAGAATGATGTGCAGGTTCTGGTGCCATCCAGCTGCTTTATCACATTTTGTACAAAGGACATAAATGTAGGATGTGAAGTTGTTCCTTTCTCGCAGAACCTGAGATAAGAAGGGAGATACCTTTCCTGTGACTTACTTTTTTTAGTTGATTTTGCACGTTTGCTTTGAAATGTTGTGTAGGCTGTGTTCCCTTCCCCTGAATGCTCACGTCCTTTCCTTTTCTGACCACAGCTCTTGCATCTCACGATTACATACTGAAGATTGTCCCGACCGTGTACGAAGACATGAGCGGCAAGCAGCGATACTCCTACCAATACACTGTAGCAAATAAGGTAAAGAAGCAGGTAGTTCTCAGAGAAGCTCCTTATTGCAGCCCAGTGGATGCGTGGAGGTTCTTCAGTCATCATTCCTCCTCCCTCTTGCTCCTCTGCTCGGCAGCCTTGTGCGTTTTTTGTAGGTGAGCAGTAGCCTCTGCTGGGAGGAGGAGGAACTGAAGCCCTTCAGAACCTTGCTTCATGTTGCTCCTGGTGCTGATGTTTTCCAAGGTTGGGATTGTGAGGGCTTGTCAGAGCAGGTGGTGGTGGTGTTTTAGTTCTAGAGAAAGGGATCTTTACTGCTGACTTTCCTGTATGTCAGTTTAACTGATCTAGGTTTCTATAAGTGTGTGGAAGGTTCCTACATGCTGCAGGAGCTCCTGTGATTTATGTCAAGATGCATCTGGATGGAAACTGCAGTCCAGCTGAACATACAAAACAGCACTTATACATGGTTTTATTAATAAAACCGTCTAAATTGTGATGGATGTATCAGACAAATAAGCTAGTAGAGTTTTTAGCATTTTACAAATGTTGCTGTTAAGCAACTGGACCTGCAGCAGCAAATAAATACTGGCTGACTATTTCACAGTCCCTACTTTATTATAGTGGATTATGATAGTTATTCTACCTTTATAATTCTTAAATTAATTTACAATAATTGTGAATAAATTTGTATTTTAAGAATACAATGTATTAAACTTGAAAAAGTAAATAAGGACTTTTTCTTTAAGTTAAAAGCCTCTTTCAGTTTAAAATTATTTGCCAGTCTGGTGATAAATGGAAGTCCAGAATCTCTTTATCATCTGTGCATTTTACTGCTATTCTGCCATAACTGAGAATCGGGCACACACTCTTGTGGAATAGTTCTCAGATTAACATTTCTGTCTATAGGGGCTTTTGAGCTTGCTTGTACAGTGTGTCCCAGTGATGTGGATGTCTCCCTCTATTCAGATGGCAGTGTATTTGTTCTGCTTAATGTCACAACGGTTGTTCTGATACGACGCAAGTTCTGAAAAGTAATTTGGAAAATAGGCAGCAGGAGCTTTTGGCAGTTCTGTGAGCATGGCTGCAAACTGGGGCGTTTGGCCAAGACTGATTCATTAGGGCAGGATTGCTGGTGGGGAAAAGGGGAGAGGAAGGAACAAATGAGGTCAGTTCTATCAAAACTGAAGTGCAGAGAGACAGTGTTGCTGGCTCTGCATTTTCTGATTAAAAATAAAAAAATCAATTATTGGTGCTTAGACCTTCACTCCCCACACTGGTTGGTGATAGACACAAACTGGAAGCCATTGCAATATTCTGGCACAGATTGGCTAGTGTGAAGAGATGGATAGAGTCTTAAGTGTGGACTGTCTCCTCTCCCCTTTTACCTCCTAGACCCTCTGTTTCCTCACTTCCCCAGATAGCTGCTGTCCTAAGATATGCTGCAGAACTTCTGCAATTAACTTCTGCAATATTATGACTGGGGACTTCAGCCACAGTCTGCCTCTCTTGTCATCCACGGGAAAAAAAAATCCCAAACAAAACAAAACAATAACCTAAATTGGGGGAAATTTGGGATTTATATGAGATTAATGAGGGAGATAGATGCTATTTCACTAGCTCCCTATGAGCTCACAGAGAGTAGAATTATCTTTCTTGTCTCATGCTCATGGGTTTCCTGTTGCTTGTCCTTTCTCAATCTTTCTGAAATATTTGAGGTTGTCTTTGCCTCTGGGTGAAGAATTAAAACAGAAAAGGTCAGCATGTCACAGGGTTAAGGAAGGGAAGAGCAACTGGATAAAGAGGCAGTGTGTGCCATGCCAGTGTGCTGATGGCTCTCATGGGATTGCTGAGTCCCCAGCCTGCTTTGATTTTTCTTCAGTCTGTCAAGATAAATATCCTGATCCTTCAAAATTGATATATATTTCTACTGAGAGCACAGACAAAATATTAGCTCAAAAAGATGTGACCTACCATACTAAGTTGATATTAGTACCTGTTCTGCATTGACATTGTGCAGTATCTCTTGTTGGGGTGTTGTCCTGCAGCTGATTGATTGCACTGTACCTGCTGTTAAAGAAGTGGATTAAAGGAGATTATCACTGGCAATCTGAAGATGTCTCTCCTAAATGAGGTTGGAAGACGTTTTGAACCTTTGCCAATATTTTTCTGTGTACAGTTTCATTTTGGCTTTCAGCATGATTTTTAAACATTCTCTGTGATTCATACTGAGTGGGCAAAGCATTTACTTTGTTGATCCCAGTGCAAAGGGGGCTTTGCAGACAAGAGCTGCTGCTTGCTATTCTGAGTGTGTGGAGAAGGAGGGATTTTCAGGTTCTTGCAAGATAAGCTCCATTTTGTTTGATGAATATCCCAGTAAACGAGTTACAAACTGATGGTACAAAAACACCTACAACCACTGAAGGGACTGCTTGTATTTAAATAGAGCAGATCTAAGCTAGAGAAATCAATGACAGTCTTTATTTACTTCTCTAACTTTGAATGAAGGTGAGAGTAAGCACCATCACTCCTTGTTCCCAGCTATGTCATTATCAGACTGTACAGAACTTGAACTTACTTTCCTATTTGATAAGGATGGGGTTGGGCAGTCATTCAGGAATTAACTGTTTTCTTCTTTCAATCTGATCGTTAGTTCAAACAATGGAGTTAGGGCCAGATCCACAGAAGCAGTTTTACTGCAGACACTATCTGGAATGAGATGGCTCACATTTTCTGCCATTTTCCCCCCACTTTCTTTTCTAGGAGTATGTAGCCTACAGCCACACGGGCCGCATCATCCCAGCCATCTGGTTTCGTTATGATTTGAGCCCCATCACAGTGAAATACACAGAGAGGCGACAGCCTTTGTACAGGTTTATCACGTCGGTGAGTTGCTGTAAACGTCTAATTCTCTGTTCTCCTGCCTGTCTTTGGTTTCTCTTCTAAGTCTTTTTTGTCCAGAAGAACTGAGTTTCTGCTTCAGAGCATTGTGACACGATTGAAATGAAGCAGTGCATCACTGCAGTTGTATTGAAGTGTAAGTGAGGTAACTGGTGAGCCCTGTGCTCTGACAATTTGATTTAATAGCTAGGCAGAAGAAGAAGGAAAATTATCCTGGTCCAGAAGTGCCAAACTCTGTCTAGACAGGATGGGCAGTATTGCAGCATGTCCAAAACTTGGAAGTAAGCTAATGTAGTATTCAGTAAAGCATGCTGCAATAAACTGTCTCTCTAATGGTGAGATCTAACTTGCAGAGAATGCAGGGCAATTGTTTCACCCAGTGCTGCTGCTTGGCTTAATATGGGTATGCCGGGTCCAGGCATTGACTCCTGGGTGGAGGTGGAGAAGAGCTGTATTCTCAAATTCCGGAGGTGTTTTTCTGACGAGTTATGTTTTGGTCTACCCAGATGACATCCTGCAGCACTGATCTCAGCATCTATAACAAAGTTGTACTGTACAAACTTCTAGTTAGACAAAAAGCTATTTAAAGATCTTCCAGAACTTTAAAAAAATGTGTCCTAAGGGAGTTGTCTTTAGATTTTAAGCCGCAGTCTGCTGTGCCAGGGAGGCACAGTAGAATGTGAAGGAGTTGATAAATTGGCTGGAAAGAAGACTTCAGATTTTGATTTTTAAACTCTTTGAATATTTTCATTGAAAGTAACATAAACAGTGTTGCACTTGAAGATTTTGATTTTGCAGCTTCTGATAAACACCAAGTTGTCTTTGCTTAACTTTAGAAATGTGTGTGATCGCACGTCTGTTTGGTTTCAAAACATAATCCTAAAAAAGTTCAAACATCAGCATTTTATGACATGACATCTCATCCTGTCTCTACTTCATTCCCTAACAATATGCTTTTATGGGTTTCTTACGCATCTCATTGGGGGTGAGAGTGTGGAGGTGTTTTTAACAGGAACCAGTGTTGGCATTACTCTTTGTTATGTCCGTTGCCAGCATTGATTTACTGCTGATGTGCCACTGTATGTATATAAATAGCATCTGTTGAATTCGATACCGTGCTTCAGAGTTTATAGAAGGCACCCACAGGAGGGGCTTTCCTCACTGGTTGCCACAATGATCCTTTGGATTTGAGGTGGCCCCAGCTACTTCTGCCCCATCCTGTCTGTAAAGTTAGCCAGGCCCAGGCTGGCTGCTGGACTGCTGAAGAAGAGTTTTCCAATTTGTTTGTGTCATAGAAGCATAAAATTGTCTTGGTTGGAAAAGACTTTTATGCTCAAGTCCAGCCATGACCCTGGCACTGCCACATCCAGTTCTCTGCTTTGTTTGGTCTTCAAAATGGCTGTAGTCTTAAGCAGCTCACTTGGGGCCATTCCAGTTGAACATCCTTCCTGTGATCTGTGGTCTGTAGGTGACACTGATATCTGCAGTAATTGTCATGCAATACATCAGACAGGTGGGCCAGGCCCTTGACAGATGTGGCTGACTCAGAGGCAGATCCTTCTTACAGATGCTGTATCGTGGGTATCAGTCTGGACCACCTGGCCCTGGTACACATGACCTGCTCTTCCTCTCATTTGGGTTCAGAATGTTTTACAGTAGGACAACCTTGGCTGTGTATGTGCTGCACTTAAAGCTTTACAGCTTTCAAGGTGTCCTTGAAATGGTTGGAGGGGGGGAGCATTGCTGCAGAGGATCAAAACACCTTTTGTCCTAGGTTTCCTTGCCCTGTTTTGATGACATGATCTGTTCTGTTGTCCTTTCCACTGCTTTAGCACCTTCCTGTATCTCCAGCCTGGCCTTTTGCATCACAGTTGGTCTGGAGACGAGTTAGTGATGATCAGCACTGGGCTGAGGTCCAGACAGAGATTGTGCTGGGACATCTGGAGTCATTACCAAATGGGGCTGGCCATGGAAAGTATCAGCTTTTTCTGAGCAGCAGCTGCCTAATTTAAAAACCAGAAGAGGGGCTCTTGAGTAGGGAGATGACTTGTGACTCCTTTCACTGAGCAGATTGGTTACTGGAGCACCCATGTGGCTTTCCATGAATTTAAATGTCTTTGGGGATGGGCAAGGATCCTGTGGGCTTAAAGTCAACTGTAGGGGGAAAATTGTGTCAAATGTTGAAGGGAAGGATACACTGTGAAGGGATGATCCCATGTGGAGAGATCAGATGAGAGAGAGGTGTTGATTGTTCAGAGAGCCAAAGGAATCTCGTTCTGCTGCTGGGAGGGTTATCTGATGCTCTTTGTTAGTAATGAGCTTGCCCTCCAAAAACTTCAGCACTGTAAAAAGCAGCATTATAGCACCATAGCAGTGTTCCCAGGTTTTCTGTGTTCCCAACGGACCCACTCTAACTTGTGCCTGCTTCTTGGGTCTTTGTGGTATGAAGAATTATCCTAATATCCTGTACCAGGTGAGATGTGCTTCCTGTGCAGGACAAAGGTGTAGATTTTACTTTACATGTTACACTTAAAAAAATTCAGTACTAAAGAAGATTGTGACCCACTGCTTGTGGGTCAGTGCTGCCACTGTCACTATGCTGTGAATTTGCCATGGGTCCTGGGTTTAACCACAGACACTTGATGTAATGTTAAACACAGTAGGTTTTGCCTGTCAAACTGTATTGCTTAAAAACAAGGCATCTCCCCATAAAGAGAAGCCATTCATGGCCTTGTGGTTGAAGTTATGGAGCAAGGGGAAAAGTTCCAACTACTGAAAATTTATGAGTTCCTGTAAGTGGCCAAGCTGAAAGAAGATTTTATCATGAGGTCAGTGTAGGGGCTATGAGGGGAGAGCAGGCAGTAAACAAGCCAAAGTTCTGCTAAAGCATTCAAAATGCAAAGAAAACAATATTATTTTTTTCCCTGATATTAGAGGACTTGTCTTCTGTCTAGGTGTGAAAAAAAATAAACTGGAAAAAATGGGGGGAAAGAAGGTTGCAGGGAGAATTATTTCAGCTATGGGACCTATTACCATCATGTATCATAGACTCAGTCCTGTGGTGTTTTAAGATGTTGTTTTCCTACAAGATGTGCTGCAGGTCAGCCAGAAATCTCTGGGTGGGATTCTTACTTTCCTAGGAATTACCTGGGAGGCCCTGCTGGTCCCCTCTGTCCTTTAAACGTAATTTTCAGATTTTAAGACATCCCAGAGGAGGTCCACAATCATGTATCTGACACTTGCCTTTCTGTCATCCTGCTTGCAGCCTTACCTCCTCCTACAAATCCACTCATGTTTTTCTTTAGATTTCAGCCCCCCTCCCAGCCACTATCCTGGAATCAGATTCTGTTCAAAACCCTAGTGTTCCCTGCATTGCATGTCTCTCACTGCTGTAATTGTTGCACTTCTGCATTTGTTTTCCTTCCTCCTTTAATGGTTGGGCCTGAGTCAAACCATCACCTAATGGATCCAAACGCAGATCATTCCCACTATTAAACTCCATGAAATATAAAGAAGTGCATGATGCCCAAGTCCCTTCAGTGCTGCTGAGGAGCGACGCTCCACACGCGTGAGGACTGTGATGGTAGAGAAACACGGTGGTGCAGCTTCTGTGCTGACCTAGAGACCAACTCTGGTGCTGTCTCTTTTTTGTCGCAGTGAGACAAGAGGGCTGTGTGCGTGCTGGGAGGCAGGCTCCAAGAGAATGCCAGGTGTGTGTGACTCATAACACTCAGCAGCAGGGAGCTGTGCAGATGAATATATTTTGTTTTCTCTTCCCCACCCCCCTGTGCTGCTGCACTGAAATCAGATTTTCCTACCATATGATGCAAAATCTTGGTGTTGGATGGTTTTTCTGTTGTTTGCGGTAGAACATCTCCTGTCAGCTGAGCTGCTGTGGACTGAAATAACCTAACTCCATTGCGGTCATTTTCCCTGAAAAGTCACCCTGCGTCATGTTCCCAGGGATGGCAGGGAGGGGGGCAGAGGGGGCAGGAGCTGGACTTGTCCCCTAATAATACTAACTTTGCCACAGGCTGGTGCTCTGCTTTTTGAAGCCTTTACCCGCTGGAATGCCAGCTGTCCTGCAAAAGCCATTTTTACTGCAGCTCCTCATGTCACCAGCTCACTAAACACATATATCCTGGCTATAAATACACATGTAAATGAGAGCTTTATTGCTTGCTGCCCTTGCTCACCGTTAATGAGCTGCTGGTCCTGTTGCCACTGTTGACTCCCTGCTGAGCTGAACCCTGCTGCTGTTGCCTTCCTCCTTTCTCTGTAACTTAGCCCATGGGCAGCAGTGCTGTCTGGGAGACATGGCATGGTAGGTCTAGTGTGGCAGCAGTTCCCTTCTGTGTCTGTTGCATTGCATTTCTCTGATGCCCTGCTACACTGGCTGACTGATTTTGAGTTCCCCTCTCTCTCACTCAGCTTTTAGCTCACCAAAAAAACCCCATCCCTGTTTTCCTAGGCAGGCCCTGAGCTCTGTATCTTGTCCCTTCCTTACTGACACAGTGTCTCCAAGTCACAGAGCCACCTAATCCTGCACGATGCAAAAGTCCAAATGCAAAGAGCATCACAGTTGTGAGGTAAAAAATGTGGGAAGTGCCAGGTCCTGTATAATTATAACTTGGCCGTTAAATGTTATTAGGCTACGTTATTGTGTATCATACTTTCCATGTGAGCCCTGCCTTGTGCACTGGGTGGGGTGGCACCCTGTGGGCAGCATTTCTTCCCATCCTATGGTATTTGACTGCTGCCCTGTTACAAGCAGGTGATTTGTACTAACCCAGTCCTGAGAACAAGTCATAGGTTTCCACAGGGACTTGAAGACAGTTGCTGTCGTGATATTGAACCCTTCAAATGTGTTTTCCATCGCAGTTTCCCTGGGATGAAAGTTTGGCATTGTCCTTGTTTCACAGATAAGGGAATTGAAGCAGTGTATTGCTAAGTCCATAACAGGTGGCCCCTGATTTTGGGTGCTCCAAGCCAAGGTTTGACGTGTCAGAACACCTTAGTGTTCTTCTAGGACTGGAGAACTGAAGTAAGCTGTTATGCTAATCAGGAGATTAATTTTTTCCCTAACTCAGTTCTTGAAAATTATTATGTGTTTTTACTGGTGTTTAGATAATTCAACCCATGACATCTTGCATGGAAAACTTTGGCCCACAGAGAGTTAAGTTGGCAGTGCTTTTGTAATGGAAAGTGTTAGGCAGACTTAGCTGTAGGTGTCACTGGTAGCTAGATTTCTCTGTTAGTCACTGTCCTTCACATGCTATTTCAGTGTCTTTTGCCTGTTTGCAAATGCTGTACCTTGTGAAATAGGGAAAAGACTATAAGGCTGTAGTATTTATAATAGAAAACAGAAGCTGGAAGATATGAGCAACACAGAGCTGCTAGAAAGCTTTATTAGGTGGAGTTTTGCCCAGAAAGGAAGAGCATTCATGCTGTAGGCTCCTAGGAGCTGGGATTTATGATTGGTCAGGCTATGATGAATTCAGGGTAGCACTAAGTTTTTCCACTGCAAGAAACATTTTTCCTCAATGATTTTAATGCAATTACCTCCCTAGTGCTGTTACCCAGTTCTCATTATGCTTCCAGAAAATATTGCCTCCTGGAAGCAGTAGGCAGTAATACCCTTCCCTCCAGTTTCAAGCTGCAAAAAGTTTCCCTCATCACTGACAAACCTGTTTCCTCTCTCTGTACATTTCAGATATGTGCCATCATTGGAGGAACATTTACTGTAGCTGGGATCCTTGACTCCTGCATTTTCACAGCATCAGAGGCCTGGAAGAAGATCCAGCTGGGGAAAATGCAGTAGCAGTGAAACTCTACCCTAGTCTCCAAGGACAGGAGCAAAGATTGAGAAATCTACCACTACCTGTTTTTGTCTTTATTTTCTATTTGATTGAATCAGTAAGTTTTTCTCTAATCAGGCTGTTCTCAGTGAAGATGTCTTCAACAAATCAAAGAAATCTCCATGCATTTCAGAGCTCTGAGAGTGAAAATTCAGTGGAAGTAGGGCATGGATTTCAATTCTCTCCCCCCAGAAAGAGAGGTTGGAATTCCATCTATGAAATACACTGTCAGGTCTAAGTAAGGATGACAGTCTGTTCTCTTGAAAGGTTCCTATGGCAGTACACAAACTAGGTAGTAGATTGCAAAGAGTTGAGCTGTATTGTGGCACTTTTTTTGGAATTCTGTTGTATTTGCATGATTAGACAATCGACTTTTGTATAAGGCAAAAATTATACATTAGGAAGAAATTCCACCTGTGGTGCCAAAAAGGTGATATATCTGTTGGGGAGGAATGGAAAGTGTTAGTCCCCGTAGCAAACTTGAGAGACAGAAGGCAGAAATAACATCAATAACTATTTTGTGCTTGTATTGAAAGTTCTTTTGTTCAGATATGACCTTTCTAATGAAATAAGCAAACAAGAAGAGAAAGCCTTCCCCCAGTTACCTTTCCTGGGTAATGTGTGACCCAGGCAGCAGAGGGCCTTTCTTTTACTCTGGATGTAAAAGTAGTTTCATTTCTTCCGAGAAACTGAATATCCAGTCTTGTGTTTACAGGTGGCATGAAGTAAAAACCAAACTGAGCAACATGGTTTTATGTGGCCTTTGCTTGGAAAGGGAATGGTTGTCTTTACAGCATTAGCTTTTATTCTTTCTTATGTTTTTTTAAACACAGACCACCCAGCAGTAGTTTGGATTCTGTACTTCTGCTTTGTTATTGTTGTTGTTATTTTGAAAAGGGGTTGTGTATTCTACATGTTCAGAAAAATGGTGCAGTCTTCTGGGTGGGTGATGAGCACAGTTTACTGTCTTGCTTTGTGTGTGTATCGAATACACCTGTCAAACACAGGAAAGTCTGTTTTTTCAGGTTTTAAGGTGCCTCCTTTTTCCTTTCAAATTCAGTCAAGCATCTTTTCTGAGCCCTAAACTGACACTGTTCATCCACAGGTACAGCAGTAGCAGGGCAGGGATTCCCACAAGCTGGTCCCTGATGATAATTGTTTTGTTGTATTCCTTAAAAAGGTACCTGAGCTTCCATGCCTATTCATTCAAGCCTTGTCTTCTGGGGCCTCCAATAAATGGAGGTGTGAGGGGGAAAACTACTGCCAGGTGTGGCTTGCATTAATGGTAGACATGAGTTCACTAAAATTAGACCAGTACCCAGCAGTGCATTTTCCATAGCCTCCTAAAGGTTCCTTGAGTAGTAGCAGTCTCTGCATGCTTTATAAATGTCAGAGCTGAGGATTCACAAATGTTAAGTGATCCAGGATGGATCAAAATCATAAAATAAAAATATTTTAATTATAAATTCTAAGACAGATGCAGAATTTCCCTTGCACAATATCTACTGCCCACTGCACTTTCCTGGAGGCAAAAGTATCCAAACACGAC